TATTATTATTATTATTATTATTATTATTATTATTATTATTATTATTACTATTATTAATATACAACTTTAAATGTTACGATTAAGGTTGATAATGTAATAATAATTTTATGTCGGGATGAAAGTCGTTATAATTCGTAATTTTAAAATATTCACCAGTATATGTACCTATATTCCCTTCCTCACGATTACCAATTACTATTATGATATAGACTATTAGTATATACTACAACATCGATATTATTATACGGTGTGACGCCTTTTAAACTGATAAATTCGTAGAAAAACATATTATAAGCGTATATATAATAATTTTAAGACATTCCATTTTATGAATGACATTTACGATAAAAATTAATAAATAAAATTATCTCTATAAAACCTCACGCGTATAATAATATATATTATAGCCACAAAATGTATTGTGATATAAAACATTTTAGTCGTTTTGTTGTTTTGTTTTTATTTGTTATTCATACATATATTAAGTTTGATATAATATAATCAATTTGCTAATGTATTATGATAACGGATAAAAAATGTTAACTTAATAATAATATTTACTATCTCATTTAGTTCATTCAATTGTTGTTCCTTGTTTTCTCCGTGGGAATACACCCTACGTTACTCTTACCCACGTTTATGTTAAGTTGTTTTTATTTATTATTAATATTATAAATAACGTTAATAAAATGTTTAATGTATGTCCTTGTTACGATCAATATTATTTACTATTATTACCAATTGATTATTATTTATTATATATTATTACATATTTATTTTTGATTCTCGTACGGATTCTCCTCTCACTTGCGTATAAGAGACGTTTTATTGTAAAGTATATTTTTTATTTAGTTCAGTATGTTTATTAATATAAGTACACGTAACTATGCATTAAGTTTGTAAGTATATATATATATATATATATACATATATAAACGAGTATATTATAATCAGTATTCAGTGTATAATTACTTAAAACACATTTAAGACTATTTATTAATACAAAAATAACATTAAAACGTACTGCTACTGTTGATTATTATAGTTATTATTAATACGATTGTTTGAAATGTGAGATTTCAGGTTGGAATGTGAAAATACAAGCATGCGTATCATATTAAAGTTGTTAAAATATTAAAATACGGTATTATAATTAATAATAAAAATGATAAGTGATAACCAATGTAAATCATTATACAATGATTTTGAAGAGTTAAATAGTAACTAACCGATATAATTATTCTATAATTGGTAAATTAATAAGTTGTATAATTTAGTTGGTCAACAAAACCGATGGAAATATTTCAAATAATATTAATATTAATTGTACCCCATTTGCTATATGTCGAAAACTAATTTATTGGTACTTAGATATACAATGTACAGTGCTTGACCATAATGGAAATTTCAGTAGTGAATATTCGACATTTTGTCGAAGGATTTACCGTCCGAATTGTTTTGAGGTATATTAATTTTTAACCAGTTGATTTTACATTATTTACATTCATTTTTCGAATTGATCAATGGTTTGTGCCGATTCTTGGTCAAATCTCTCTGTTTCTTCTGGATTCTCATGTTGAATTCTTTCCACTTTTTGATCCAATCGATTTCCTTTTGGAAAATCATCGATATTGTCTGATTTTTAGCTTTGCTCAAGATCACCAGAGTACACACTGGTATACTTATATAAATTTTCCTTCACTCGTTCTTTTAACGGTGACTTCGTCATGCAAATGACGTAAAGTGTTGTCCGATGGCTTATTATTTTTCTGTCTGGGTAGTTGATTATTCGTCGAATCCTTCGAATTATTGTCCCATTCGTTACTTATAAATAAAATATTAAACATTACATTTTTTTTTATGATTGCTTTTATTATAGCTACAAAATCAACGAATACTATACAATGCAAAATCGAATAGTTCAATTCAATATTTTAATCATTCTTCGCTATTTCATGTAAACTATAAATGTAGGTATTCTGTAAACTTTATGTAACTACGACTTTTTTTTTTAATAAATTAAAATCTTACGGTTAATTGCGACTAAAAACATAAGCAACAGTATAAAACATGTAAGTTTGGTATAACAAAATATAATCTGTCTCTTTGTGGTACATTTCTAAAAATTTTGACGATATTACAGCTGTAATACAGTTGTTTCGTCTAGAAAACAGCATGCTGCGAATAGTATTTATCGTTCGACGCAAGTGTATTATTGTGTAATAATTTAACGTATTTAAGTGATGTCTTACAGAGCATTTATTTAATACCGGAATCAATAACACTTGGCGTTTTAAAAACATTAAGAGTAATTGAACAAAATTTGTTTTTGTCATACCAATACATATAATTACTAATATAAATATAATATATTATTGCAATTTCATTGAAAAATAAGGAATAATGGATATTTAAATAGTATTAATTATTTTTTATATCATTTTTAATTTAATAATTACATTATATAATTTTATAATAATTGCCACACTAGGTCTCGGATTCTATAAAATGTTTACATATTATAATAATAGTGATAAAAATATCAAAATAATAGATAAACAATTGTTTATTTATTTATTGACACATATATAAAATATATAATGTATCAGTTATCAATCGATAAATATCGTTAAATTATTTCCATTAAACGCTTTTAAAATATACTAAAAATGACCTAAATGATATCGTAATATTACCATTTTTTTGATCAACGTAGCCTCGTTACGTGATTTGAACGCTTCTGTTTTGGTGGTTTATTCCATTACCGTTTAAAATAAATAAATGACTCTGATGATTAAAACTCAAATACGTTTTATTTTTTTTAATTTGTTTCATTTGGTAATATTAATCAACTTCAGTCGGTGTGAACTTGGGTCATTATTAACATTCCAATTTTTCACATTGATTTGTTTTCTTAAAATCAATTATTTATTTTAAAATTGTAGTCATACAATTGCAATCTACATTATTCATTATCAATCATCATTGTTGTGCATTTTTATTGTAGGTTAAAGTAGAAGAGATCAAACGTATTTTATTCAACGTCCTTCAAACGTTTGATCGATACCAATTCTTTTCCAGAACTATAATATGTGTTTTGAAGACTGAAGAAAATAAATATAACATAACAAAATTAACAGAAATGACTTTAGAAACTATTGTAATGATCTATTCAAACTAAGTGTACAGTAGGTACATCAATTTTCTTATATGTACTTTTTTAGGTATGATATTACCACATAAGCTGATTGTCTGCTATATGGGAACTATTTGAATTCGTTTATAAAGTCTAGTAGTAGTATTTAGAGTGGTCGATCGCGTAAGGAACAAGGAACATTTTGATGGGAATTCATCAGATTGATTGGACCATTTTAATGGATGCTTGTGGTTTTAAAATTATATTATAATAATAATTAAAATTATATAATTTATAAGTGAAACCAATTTAATTAAAGTCAGATATTGATTTTTTTTTTTATATTAAATATATCGCTTATTAAGCAAGAAGTTTGAGTACACGATCGTGCATTCTTTTATTTTTTATCATCCCTAGAAATTTAATTATTCGAAATTAAAAATAGATTTTATTAGACGAAGCGACCTTAATTATTAAATTTAAATTTCTTTGTCGAATCATAAATTACACGTAAACACCGTAGATCTTAATGAGCAACATATTCTATAACAGTATATCACATTAATTTTGATTTTTCATTGATACTCCCGGCGTAAAGTCGTAAATAACGAAAACGTCAAGAAGCGTGATGAATAATACAAAAGTAGTGTTTTAGAGTGACTATAATGCATGGGTGTTACAATTTCTTGCTAGATAATTCTATAAGTTGGAATGAAAAAAAGAAAAACAATACCCTTCCTTTACTCTACAATACTCTACGTTTCTTTGATGATTAATTCAATAAACTTTGGTAGCCGGTTACAATTTACGGGGTAACCAATGTTTCATTATTGATTTTGGAGTTGCGTGAGTAGAACGAAAAAATGTGTATTAAACCGAATCGATGTTGTTAAACATTTTCATAATAGATAACTTATGCGGAATAAAACTCAAACGAAATAACTAAAATATTTAGCGACGTTATAAATATTATCGTTCTGCGAGTTTAAAAACGACTTAATTGGATTTTGAAAACGGTATTGATCATATAACAAAAAAGAAATAAAATTGAGCACTTCTGAGATACAAAAAGAATATCGCACACTGTTACTGAACAAAATCGGCATCATAATATACTCGTAATTATTATTAATGTTAATATCTATAAAGTTGATCGAACAAGTGATGCAGAAAATAATATAAAAGCAATCGAATACGAAAATAATGACCCCATTGCTGTCGAAATCATTTGATCACATCACAGAGTAATAAGAACGTTCTTGTACATTAGATTCGATAAAATACATATTATCATAATAGTGCAGAAATAGATAACAGCTGCAGCAGGTATCTATTTACTTAATCATAATTTCCAAATTTGTTAGTCATAGTTCATATCAGCGGTTTCAAACTTTTTTAAATGTACGAACCTCCAATCTCGTAAAAAAATCTTTAAGGCCCACTAATAGCTACATACATGTTACCGGAAATGTATTGAATATTGACATTGTATAGGAATCCCAGGCCTTTTATAGAACCCTTTGGACTGTTTGGTAATGTATAACATTTTCGTATTGTTTTAAATAATGTCTAAGCAACCTTTAAAATTCCTATGATTTCCATAGAATGCCATAGCTACGTTAGATAAAGTATGAGTAATTCATACATTACCTAAATTATTTTAGAATAGTATTGAATCAAAAAATATTCATTGTTTTAATAATTTATTTTTTTTTTGTTTGTTGCAACATACGTACATATTAAAAAAATTTTTTTTTTTGGTTTAATATTTTGTTTTACATGTGCATTTAAAAAAAAAAAACCATCTTATAAAATATATATGTACTTATTATAAAATTGTATGTAAATTGAATGCATTGCCATCTTGAGGTTCCGAATTCTATAGAATACCTAGTCTTTTATACATTTTTTACATTTCCTGCTCATTTTTGGGATTCTACAGAATGTCTAGATATTATATTTAATGCCGGATTCAACACTTTGCTGATAAAATGTTGCGGGTAAAGTTCGAAAATGGGTTGTTTACACATTATTCAGGTAAAGTACACTTCATTCATATAAATAGTAATGTGTACATTATCCAGTGTGCTATGGATAAAGTATGAAGTAAAAAAAAAAAAAAAAACCAAATCATATTATTTTGAAAAAAAAATGGAATATAGTTATTTATTGGAACATTTTAGATTCTAGTGATATTTTGAGTTGCAAAATATCTCCTCAGATTTACATTTACTCGTACATTTATTTGTTAAACAATTATTTTACATATACATTTTTTAAAACTTTGACCACCGAAAAGAGATTGTGAATTAGCTATTTCACACAAAGATTTTTTTATAGCCTACGCTTATACAATATTTATTAATGGTTCATTATGATTTATTTCTTTTGTATCACGTTTCTGTTATTTAGGATAATATGTCATAATATTTTGATTCCGTTAAATTTACCGAATTCTCATTATTTTAATTAATTAATTTATTAAAACTTTTGTAAAATTTATTTTTTTAAAAAAGACAAGTTTTTTTTTAAAAAAACTAAATGATCAAACACTAACTAACCAAAAAAGGGAAATAGAAAACCGATAGTATCATACTGAAGCTTCAAATTATTATTTAATATCAATGCTCACAATTTCTCATAATGTACAATTTATACTCGTATTTTATCGTATTTTTTTAATACAGTCGACTCTTGATAATTCAAATCTTCGATAATTCAAAGTAAATTCTTAGTCCCTCGAAAATCACGTGGTAATTCGTATAAAAAAAATTAATTTAAGAACACTTGGTAATTCGCAAATAAATTTTGGGAAAACATGCATCTAACACGTGACAATTCGAAGTACCATCCGTTCAACGCTCGGCAATTCAAAGTATATTCAGCAAATTTATTTTATCTGTATTCTTATAATCTTTTTGTTAATAATTTACTATACAATCGTGTAGAAATTTATCGTTTTATTTCTTAATCGTTACTAATTGTAATTTATTTCTTCGATAGCCGTCAGCCAAATGTAGTTTTATTTTAGTTTCGTTTGGTCAGTTGTAAAGTTCTTGTGATGATTGCGTCAAATTTAAAAAATACTATTAAAAAAATGAAACTAATTTCAATAAAGCAGAATATCATTACAGATTTCTTCGAAAAATAATAATATTTAATAATAATAATTTAATTTACATAGTATAGTTATTATATGGTTATAATTTACATTAAAAAAAAAAAAAATAACTAATATCACCTATTTTGCTGAAATAATTAATAATTATGTACAATAAGAAACAACATTTTTCTTTTTATTCAGTAATTCGGAATTTTTTTGGCTCTCTCGTTTTTTCGAACTACTTAATAATTCTAATTCTCGGTAATTCGAAATTTTTCAACAGTCCGGTCAACTTCGAATTATCGAGAGTTGACTGTATTATCTACAATTTATACTTTGTCGTATTTTATTTTATGAAAACACTTTGTCCACTCAAAGGTAGTTAATTTACAAACAACCCGATTAATATACCTACAAAATAAAATTTTACAAATATGTTTACTAACCTAGGCCTAAGTAGTGTTCACATCATCCGGGTGATGTGTACTTTACTTGATTTTCGTATTCTACCCGTAACATATATGTTTATATTGCATATACGTCAGTAAGCTGCCGAAAGTAATACAAGTAACATCTTAACCGAAAATCCCCCCCAAAAAAAAACGACCAAAAGGAAGACCTCGTCAGAGATGGTTAGACAGAGTGAAGAAGGATATTTTAGATGTCGACAATTCAAAACGACTGGATGACGCGATAGACTGGAATAGATGAAGAAACTTGGTTGAAGCATGCAAAAGCCCTCAACGGCATAAATAAAAAAAAAAAAAATACATCAGTAATATGTCAGTTATTACAAAAAGAATAAAATAAAATTGTTTATTAAAAAAAAAAAATGTATTGGACCTATTTAATTACAATTTTAATAATTTAATGAGAATTTGGATGTTGCTTGTCTCCCCTAAGAGAATTAATATCTGGATTAAAACTGAAAAGCCTTAAATTACTCTCAAAATTCAATTTATTACTATATTTATTTATTCGCTCACACATATGGGTAGTCAAAAAGCCTGTTGTAATCCAGACATTCCTTATTGCGGATCTGTTCCTTATCACAGAGTTTTCCTTATTATACTGTTTTCCTTTTACTCATAAGTTGTTTACTACAAGTATAATTTTAGTATTATTATTTTTTGTTTTAATAAATGTTAACAGGTAAAGGGAATATTATTACTAATAGTTGTTTAACCTTCATTTATAGCTTTACGGATATTTTGTTTTGAATATTATTTGGTGTTTTGAAACAACGAGAAGCCTTGATACATTTCCTTGTTCCAAAACCGCTTTCATTGCCGCACCTTAGAATTTTTGTATAAAATATGGGCACAGCACCACATTGAGTTAAATATAAATTAACCTCTAAGTAGATGGTTGAGGCGTATGTGCCCAACTGCTGAATCTTGTATTTCGGTAAATAAAATGAACTCTTTTTAATTTAGATTAAAATGGTGTTGTTTTATTTTCTTAAACCTTTTGTCGTCGTTAAATCGTGCTGAATCAGTCTTTCGAATCCGACTTACTATGAGCTCATCAAGTTTCTTTGTGCACTTTTTTGAATAATCTTATTAATACTATTATAACCAGAAATAATATTATATAATACAAATATGTATTGACATTATTTTAACCAAAAGTATAAAAGTTATTCATGATGGTCCACAGCCCGTTCCACGTTCCCATCGACTCACTTGTGGGCCATGGTCCATTTGTTGGAAACCGCTGGTTTATATTGTACATTCTAGTTATTACCTAAGTACAGTTACAGTTATTACGCTTCCATTAATGAAATCATATAAATCAATAACTACTTTCTCAAACTAATCAAATTATAAATTTATCTTTATTTAGAATAAATAAACAACTCAACAACAGTTATAACTATTTAAAAAATAATTTTTAACACATAAGTAACACACTCACAATAGTATTATGTTTACACGTAAGTATCGAATATATATATATATATATTAATATATAAGCACTTTTTTTTTATTTAATTTGATTCAAAAACTTTTTTATCTTCACAAAAATATTGAAAAAAAAAGTAAAGAAACAATATAATACATAGGATTGAAATAAATCATACATTTTAGCAAACATCAATACATGATTTAACTTTTTAATTAACTTGATTAAAATCAAAAGATAAAAAAACTTTTTCACGGAATGAAATATTAAAAAAATATGTTTAATATAAATATATATGTATAATTTATTCAAACAAAAAATATCACGAGTATAATTAACATTAATAATATTTTTTTAGTCGAGCAACCGAGTACGATATAATTGTTTGTCAATATGTCAAAACCGTTTTAAATATGATAATTTTTTTTTTTTTTAATATTCATTATTATTATGTTTGTTTAGTAAATGGATATTTTTTTTCATAACTTCTGTTTCCAGACAGAATATTTTTAATTTTCTTTTGCAATCACGATTATCCATGGTACAATAACGTTAGTTGATTAAATACATTTCCAAAGAAATGCTTAGCTATATAGGTACCGTTTGCAAAACAATTAAACTGTCATCGATACATTAGTTTCATAATTACCGAGCGATAAATGAACATAGTGAACTCGTAATTAGTACCGATTAAATATACTGCTTACTATATAAGAAATCGATCTAACGAAAAATATTACATTTTATGTTTAAGATGATATATATAAGAATGTAAATTACAAGAATATTATTGGCAACATTGTTCAAAATATTACGATTCATCGAATTCACAAGTCACAGAAAATTTAATATTAATAAAACTATAAATGATAATAAAATAACATTTTTAAACAACTTCAATATTTTATGAAAAAATAAAAATAAAAAAATCAATGATTATTATTAGTAATGTAAATTAAAATAAAAAATATGTTATGAAGTAATTACGTGTATATTGATGATTGGTGGTTATGTCGATGAAAGACACATTATATTATCAAATTTTATGTATAATGATAATCATAAGAAATAAATGTTGTAAAAATACAATTTGATGGAATTTTATTGGAGAACGATTGCTTTACATAATTTTTTTTTTTTTTGCTGTAGTAACTATAAAACTAATTCGTTTACATATAATATTAATCAATGTAGATTTTTTTTCCACAAAATAAATATTACTTATAGCGTCATAGTACCATAGTACCACCAACAGTAGGCGATAATTATTGTCGACAAAAAATACAATTTTAACCGTCGTCAGTTTTATCCATCATTTATGTTAAAATAAATTATAACTCAAAAAAACAAAAAGTTATGATACATTTAAACATACAAGAACGTACAACTTAATTTATATTTTAAAAGTACGTAACCTGCGATACGTTGGTTGATAAGTTGGAACGTAGAAATCGATACGGTACCAAAATTAATGATACCATAAATAAGGTATCAATGAACTAATTTTCACAAAAACATATTTTTTCCCCGCTTTATTGTTATTTCGCACGTTGGCAGAAATAATAAATGCTTCTTATTTTGTTTATTAATTCATAATATAATTTAACAATCAATGGCAAATGTAACAGTTTTCGATGTGGTTGAATACTTCTTTCGCCTTTCTATGTTTTTTCTTTCTATCTCATCTGACACGAACGCGAAAAATAGTTTTGAATCAAGGTTATTGACGTTTGATTCGAAAAACAAACTTGCCACCAAAGTCACTACCAATGTTATCATGAAACCAATGACAATAAAGTACATATAACTTATCCTAAACAAATACATGTAACTTTCTTCGGGAACCCTAAAATCATAGTTCAATTTAGTTATTGCACTTAATTTGAAACAAAAATATCAGATAATTTTTATAAAACAATCTATCCGATATGAACGCTACTTTTAAGATTTAATGAAAGCATCCATTAACCAAGCACTTATGTCAAATAAAGTAATAATTAAAATTATAAAGTGTTTAAAACCTGAAGTTTATACAAAACCAGTAATAAGCCACAGTTAAATTATTCTAGGCCCACTCACTCAAAAAAAAAAAAAAAAACATAAAAAAAACCATAAACATTGATATAAGAATATAATAATATACAATTAAATATAAATAAATATTTTTTGTTCAACTTTTATTTTTTCACGTTTTGGAGTATTACTATAGGTAGCCTTTCTACTCAAAATGTTTCCAACGACAATATTAAAAATTTCTTAAATTACACTTATTGCAAACTTTATTTATAGATTATGAAAAAAAAAATATTCATAACAAAAAAAAATGTAAAAATGATCACGTTAATTCGTGTGGACATATCTTCAAGATATCGATTTTACTTAACAATTGATCATTATTTAAAATTAAATATTTTTTATAGAAAACCGAATAATTAAGTAAACTAAACTAAACTAAGTCAAACTATTTCATGATTGAAAAAAAAAAACAGAAAATAAAAATAATATTAGAATAACATGTTTTGAAATGACTTAATTTCAATATATTTCAGCATGAATTCATGGCAATACCGACTTAAAATTCATCAGTTGCATAAAACACCTGATAACAGTTATTTTAAACGAACGGAAATTTTCTTCTTTTCGTGAACTATTTAAATTATTAAAAGCGTTGAGTCTTGAAAATTACAATTGTTGTCAAGTATTCGGTCAAAGTCGTATACATGTTATATTGAGTTTTCGATTGAATAAAAGTAAAAAACAATAAAAGACCCGCAGTTTTCCCTACGTTGTCTGTACCGAGGGTGAATCCCCGACTCTATTCCGGATGATGTCCGAAATTTCACGTTCACATCGGACGAATGGCTTTACGTGTTCACCAAATGTTGTTAAATACACTCACACCGCATCTACTGTAATATTGTAAAAATGTAACAATATCATACTCACACCGTTGTAGTGGCCATTGAACTGTAATAGAAGTCGTTGAACGAGTTCGGTAAACATCCGTTAACGTAAGTCGGCAAATCTTTCACCGGCGGTTTAGGCCCTCCCAGACCCAGAACGAACGAGAACAGCAATCCCACGACCAGACCCATCAAACACCCCTATAAAATAATTTATAAACACTTGCGCTCACATAACATACATATGCGTACATGCTGTACGAATCGATCGTACAATCATCCCGTGGGTGTTTCATTGGCATAGAGGAGAGCTTACGGGGGCTTAGGCGCCTCAAAAATTGTTTATTCTAGGCGGAAATACTTTCAAAAATTGTGCATAAAATAAAGATCGTTATGAGTAAATTCCTACGAGTTCGTTATCGTTACCAAATACTTAATTACCCCCGTTATTTCGCAGGATCAAATATGATTAAAGTACAATACAATTTTTGATTATCTTTCACTTAGATGATTTCCGATACCACACGACGTCTAACTTATGTAAAATAAACTATTGACGTTCGAGACAAAAAAAAACTATTTCCTTCTACCGATTTCCAGATAAGATAGGAGCGCTTGGAAGAAGGTGAAAATGTCACCTTCTTACGCCCGGTCGTTGTGCACATACCGCGGGTGCGGTTTGATTACCTTTTGGTTTACGTACGGCACGAGTATGCCCAATGTGAACACCGCCGTTATAGGTCCGCCGGTGATGCCCAATATGGTCATCGAAGCTTGCAGCAGTGGTCCCACGAAATGCGCGCAGAAGGCCAACGCTATTGACAGCGCTCCGTAACCGATCACCAAGACTTTGAGCCAGATCACACGTCTACGGTCGGGGATGTCGAAGTTGATTAGCGGCTGCAAAACGTTCAGGTTTTGAACAACAATACAACATTATATCACATTCTCATTGAATATTTCGTACGCGATGAAAACTCATAGACGGTTATGTTATCTTAAACTTCTAAAGGGTCAACGAATCAATGATATACTATAGGTATACTCGTATAATGTAAAGCTGCAAGGAAAAAATAACATCGATAAAAATAATATGATTAAATCCAAAAAATAAATAAATATCCAATAAGACACTAAAACCGAGTGTATTGCCCGTGTTATTGGTTAGGGATTCAAAAGTAAACATCCAATTCAAAAATCGATTTCGAACCGAAATGGTACTGAACAAATAATATAATAATGTTTATTCATGTATGCAATTAAAATGTACGTGATTGGCGAATTTTAAATATGAAAATTGCTTGTCATTATAAAAAATACGTATACACAATAAAAACTACTAGTGAAATAAAAAAATGATGTATTCTAAGCATTAACTTCCAAAATAAATAATATAAGACTTTTGGTGTGGGTTTCCTATTCGAAAAAATGTTTATAGGAAATAACAAACCGCACAAAATCAATGCATTCACTCGTTCCAAATCTAAAAATACAATAAATAATAAATTATCCACGCACACTCTTTTTTACGTCTCAGTATGCCGTAACCAGGAGAATTTCCTACCGTGTTCTGTTCTTTAACCAACGAGTGTAGTAAAATATTTCAGTTAATAATGGTTTTCACTCAATATCTGAAATAATTTTTTAAGTCCGTTGTTGCTTACACCTCACATTTCTTCGCATTTGTCATGTTATAATATGTAACTACACAGCCGATGGCCGATAAGTCGTAATAAATTATTAAAAATAACTTATTTCGTTTGATAATATAAAATGTCGAAACAAATTATTTTTTAAAAAATTAAGGAAAAATTGATAATGTATGATATAAAATTTAAAATAATTAAAATCTAATGCAATAAAAACATTTATAATTTAAAATAGCTTATAGATGAATAGGTTTTAGCTATAATCTAAAACTTAAAAATTCATCGATCGTAAATTTTGTGTTATTGATATTTTGTATTGTCTGTTAGTCTATTAGCCTAAACAGTGAATAGGCTCAGACATTAGAACATAATTAAGAATACAAAATTATTAAAAAATATACTTTTATGTTGTCTCTATGTAATTTTGACCAGTCGACCCTTTTCTATTATGGGTATAAATTGCATTACCGTAGCATAAAAACATTGCACATGCATACGCATCCTAACATTCTGTTATAAGAAATGCGAAGGCGTACAACTATATGCAATTTGACAATATAATTTATTTTATGCTCGGATTATAATCGTTTATAGTTTTCAGTCAATACTCTCATAAATTTTGTTTTCTTCTCGAAAAGCTTTCACAGCAATACACTCGTAAACGTACACACAAATACGCGTACACACACACATAAATCATACACAAGAAAGCTCACAAGGTTGTGCCGATCTCAATACATCTTCTATATACATAAAAATTGTAGTTATATTTATGCCAAACTACGGATAATCTTTTTTTCCAATATGAAATGAATAAATAAAAAATGATGTTAACCATGAAAAAATCAAAAGATTTTAAATTCTCCCTACAGAGCTCTGTTACAACAGTTAATTATTCAACTTTTTATTTTAATTGATGACCTCGGTGGCGTAATTGTGAGGGGGGCAAGTGCCCCCTCTAACAATTTTTTGAAAGATAAAGGTATAATTTCCCCCTTCCAGCCCAAATAATCTAACAGTACAAAAGCTCCTTTTATTAATTAATTAAACTCTTATCGGTATTATTGAACAATATTGGTACCTAGTACCTGCTACTTACAATTTATGTTTATATGAACCATTAAATGAGTTAAAAGAATTATATAAAATCAAACAATTAGATATAGTGTATAAAATACATACAATAAAAAATGTTTTAACTGGTGAGGGGGAGGGGTGTCAGGGTTTTGGTTATAATAAATATATTATATTGCCCCCTCTAGATTTTTTCCCAGTTACGCCACTGGATGACCTCCTAATTGTCAATTTTTTTAGCCTATAGAAACATAGTGTATCCAACAAAGAACAGTACAGTTGATGTCGCTTATTGGACTCACTTGGGGACCAGCACAAAGTGAGTTTTCTAATCGAATTAATTTTACAAACCAAGTGGAGAAAAAACAAATATTTGAATTAACTATTAACCATTATAAACTTTTTTGCTTTAACTATATACAACATATTAGATATTACATAATGCGTATTATGTAGTTTGAATATATGTAAGTATGGTACAGGGACTCGAATTACGACTGATTTTACATGACATCTACAGCGATTATACCATCGACTGCAACGATTGATGATCGTCATTGAAATACATTTGAAAAGCTATATGATTTGTTGTACCCACATGGTTTACGGAATAATTAGGACCAGGAATAAGTAACGATCAACACAAAAGTTTATCTTCTACGATTTTTCTTCTAGAAATTTGAGTTTTATAATGGCATTTTTTTTAATCCATTTAGTTACGTTTGTTCCACGAGATTTTAAGTCTTATACGCAGCGGTATCTTATATCCGTGAGACTGGTAAACGGCGTCTACTGTGTTTTGATATTATCTTTTCCCGTATAAAAAATTGGAACGCGGCTCGCGTCAAACGGAGAGAAACGGTGTGCGAGTTTACCGTCACGTAGTCCTCGAGCGTGACGGCAGCTAGCGAGTTGAGGGCCGCGGACACGGAACACAGCGCGGACGAGCACACGCCCGCCAGGAACAGGCCGGTCAGGCCGGCGGTGCGGCCCATCGCGTCCAGCACGAACAGCGGCATCAGCTGGTCCCCGGTGGCTATTCTGCCGGCCCTGCGAACAACAAAGCCGCGACGCGCCGCGTTATCAGAATCGCTGCGCGTACGACATGCGGCCGCGGCACCGGAGTGCACGCGCGCCCCGGTCGTGTGCCGAACTTGATCGGGTCGCAGTCCCGGTACTTGGTGAACACGGCCAGCCCCGCAAAGCACATGCACAGCGACAGGAACGCGGTGATCGGCCAGCTGAACCACAGCGTGCGCACCACCGTCCCGTAGTCCTTCATAGTCAGGTACCGCTGCACCTGCACCTGGTTGGTGCCGTACACCGAGACATACGTGAACGCGCCGCCCAGCGTCAGCGACCACCACGTGTGCCTGACCGTCGGGTCCATCTGAAAACTGAAAGCGCGTGCAACAACGTTACGCGTGCCCCGTCCCCGGCCACCACTCGCCAATCGGGATTTCGGGTTCCGAGCGGAAGCGTTTTCGGCGCTCGTCCGTTTTTCCGACTACGCCCGCTGGGGATTTTTGAATTTCAAAACCGCGCTAAGGGCTTGTGTCCGGTGTTCAGCGTTTGCGCAGTTTCCGCTTTGGATCCCGAATTCCCGGTCGGAGAGCACGTGGCCTTCTGTAGGTGGTCCATCATACGGTGCCGGGACGGAATTCGCCTGTTTGTTGACACGTGTTTTCAACTTAAATCGTATCCAAAAAGAATACCGTGAGGATATGCTACGCAGATACGTATTTCGAGTCAGATCAAGAAAAAACAAATTTTTCTAAAATACGATTTTTGATTAAAAAAATTCCCGTTATTCGAGCCGGTTTCCAATGCCGGGATCACCGTCAAAGTCGGCAGTTTTTTTTCTAAAATAACCCGAATTGTTCGTAACATATTTTGTAGTAAATGGGGTGTCGCATCAAGAAAAAAAAATGCGATATATATCTGTTTACAACTAATTTTTCTTAAGTGTCGTTGATTTTTTTTCTACTTGAGTTTGACACGGGAAAGTAAAAAAAGAAAAAAAACCTTCAAAACAAAATCTTGCCGAACACACGCAACGACGACCGACAGAATATCGATTTCAATTGAAAACTGTTGGCTCTGTTCATGAAACTAACACACACTGGTGCAGTGTACGTACTTGAAAAATTCCACGCGTCCGCGATCGTAAGCGATCCTCCAGATCTCCGACAAGCCGCCTACTTCGACTGCGGCTACTTCGATAACGGTGAAAACCGATGCGAACATGAGCAAAGACTAAAATCAAAAAAAAAAAAAAAAAGAGATTATAAATACCGACAAGTATTACAACATATGATTATTTTAGTCATTAAACATACATAACATAATGGATTTCAATTTCATTACGGTGTTATTAAACGATTTAATGTCACTGTTTTACTATTATAATAATTATTATTTTTCCCCTATTCGTCCTTTATTTGTTTTTCGGAATAATGGGCGATTTCGGAGTATTTTTAATAACGTACTGCTGTTGTTTATGACAATAGACGCCACAGCTCACGATAACCTGTGTACGTGAAGTAATAAAAACACCGAAAGTGTCCGTTCCGTTATTTTCAAAAATGAAATTAATAACAATTTCATTATTTAAAACTTAATTTACTCTGTCAGCATTATATTATTTCAATCGTTGTAAAATGCTTACTATAGACTTAACAATTTCGAACATATTTTCTCCCTCCCAGACTGTTCATAGCGCTTGGAAGATGCATTAATCAGTAAATTCATAAAATTAATTAATGGACGATCTCGTTTAATATTTCATCGGATTTATACTACATATACGTATGAATTAAAACGATCATAAAATATTAAACGATGGGATATAAGATTCATTATTTAGATAATAAAAATTAAATGTTTCGAAATTGTGAAATCATACTCCCCACAACGATCATTACCTATAATGATAATTATTGTGTAACACCATCTACATCCAACCATATATAGTTAATAATTCACGTGGAAGAAGGTAACAAAACTGTGTATTATTGTACGTAGTTTTTGTTTCTAAAAATAATTAACTATAGAGACAACATCAATCCGCTTTGTTATTCCTCTGACCACTAAAACGTGTGTTATAGCTGGAAACAAATTTCTTGGAAACAAACATTTTTAAAAATTCAAAATCTACTGTTAAATCATCTAAAAAAAAAAAAGTAATTTATTAGCGAAGAAGAAACTTTTGAAACAAATTATTCACCAACTTACGGACTGCTATTTAGTGTTATATAACCTCGTATTGGTACCTTGAGTCATTAGCCAAATGAAACTCGGGTTTATTTGTTAAATAATTTCTATGATCAGTGATTAGTAATTTAAATGTGCGAAAGTGTTTCAAAAATTTAATTTAAATTCTGGAAAAACAGATTAATATTCTGTGTTGCAACTCCTAACACGAAATTTTCTTCGACCAATAAGCCGATGGAACTTTCAAATGCTATGATATTTTCAACTTTATTGTTTATATAGGTATATTATGAATTACAATAATTGGTCTTGACTAGACGACTAAAAAAATAATTATAATAATAATTATATATAGTTAATCAATCGATTAATTATTATATATATAATAATAAGTTATAATATTATTATGATAAATTGCGATGACTTCAAAAGTCAACGGGTTAAAACGTGAAATATTAAAGTTTAATAATACCATTGATTGTATAACATTACAAACGTTTTCATTCGAATGGATTAGGCAAACAATACAAACGCAGTATCGATGGTGCGAGTGCACCTGATAAGTTATTAATTTATCAGTATCGTATAGTGTTATACTTAAACTTAATGTCATGACGTTTTGAATAGTATTTGAACAGTGCGCAGCGGGGTGAATATACTCAAGTCGAGTATTATTCGTAACGATTGGTGCGAGCGGGAGGAATCGAAATATCTTTTTTTCCGCGACAAGCGCACTGCAGTGAGTTACGTAACGTATTGCCGCAATGTACGGTGTGTCGACGTTTCGTGTCGTACAGCAAAAGATCGAGTGCTCTACGCGAAAAGTAGTGAAGCCAAAGCTCATTTATAGAAATATCTGTCAACAACCGATCCGCAAACACCGAACCGTATGTGTACAAATCAAAAACGCACCCCGCTATGCATTTAAAGTTACCCGAACAACTCGTGGTCTCACGGTTGTATTCAGGTATATGAATCGCACTTCAACATATTCCCTACCTATCATACTGTAATCATTTTATGGAGACATTACGCACGGGCAGCACGATGGTGATATTATTATAATTATCTGAAATAATATCGGCGGCACCGAATGTACCTTGCGTAATAATTATTACGCATGGACATGTTTTACTAAAACAAAATGATCGATGTTCGTCGTGGGGTTGCACGACGCATTATTCGAATAAGCCCTGCATACGCAACCGTCCCGTTGACCATTACTCATCTCAGGATCATTTTGATTGATTGTCATTCGAAAAACGTGTGTACAATATTAAACATGCGCCGTTGCCGTCTATAAATACTAATTCAGAACATTTATCATGGCACGGGTCACTTGCTAGAGTATGTCTTCACCTAACAAGTAAAAACGAAAAAACTCAACAGCATAAAAAAATAATAACATAACGTTAATAATTATTTTTTAACAAACAACGCAATTTGTTGGTCGGCATTTATGGCTTGAAAAATCATTTCTCCATAACTTTAAATCACTAAATAATTTATAAAAAAAAAAAAGACTGATTATAAGTCAATATCGAATTTTTGCTTCCATCATAACTCATGAAGTAATATTAATACATTTTCACTGAATGCTCATTTCATCATTTTTTGTAGATCGTATAATTTTTAAAAAGTTTTTTTATTTTTTGAGCTATTTATTATTTAATGTTCATGTTTTTTTAGAGTTTTTTTTTCTGAGTTTTAATGTTGATTAAATAATTTTGGTCTGACAGTGTCTTAAATAATCTTTAAAAAGTTTCTCGTATAGCGTACTACGTTAATTAAAAAAAAAAAAATTGAGTTTAATAAATAAATTACAAACGTTTAAATAGTAAAAACCATGAAAATCCAGCACATATTTGTAGAAAAAAATACATATAATTTTCAATTTTTATATTCAAGTCTTATAAATTGGATTTTCAAAAAAGTTAATTTAGTAAAAAGTCTCAAAAATCATTTATTAACATTAAGGAAATGACATTTTGATGAGATCGGATATTTGAATGAATTTCCATTAAATTATTTTAAATATTTCTAATTTAAGACGTTTAATATTTTTGAACTATTTTAATACGTTTCAGGCTATTTATTGACATTTGACATTTTCGAACCTCTTAAATTGTAGATGTTTTTTTAAATTACAAATAGTGCTTGTATATATTAAATTTCATGTCCATACACTGAATATTTTTTCGAAAAGATCTATGTTTAAAAATAAAATCTTGAAACAAGGAACAAACTAAAAGCATAGATTTTGTAAATTAATGGTTATAATATAGAAATTTTTAAAGTTTAAATAAGTGGAGCAGTACATCGAAATTCCGTAAAATATCCATATCCATTCGTTTAAATTTTAAACACATGGTAAATCAATAAAAAACAAAAAGGTTTAAAAAACCAGAAAAGTTAATAAGCTAATGAATACAATAATTTTTAAAGATTATGTGTTGTAAATGGTTATAAGTAGTGCTGTGAATTTAAAGCACTAAAGAACCTTAAACAATGCATTAAAAATGCCAAAAAATGCAATAAAATATATACTTAAAATGCAAAAAATGCAATTAAAATGCACAAAAAATTCAATATAAAATGCCAAAAATTATAGTATAAAATGGTTTTTAATTTAATTTTTATATTTATATTGATATAAGGTACAGGATATTATATATTATTATATATTATAAATCAGTACATAAAATGCATAAATAAGTACTTATTTAATAAAAAAAAAAAAAAAAATAAGAAAAATGTTGATCAAATATGATTTTTCTATATGTACTATATTTTAGTATTTATTTTGTTAAAATAATAAAAAATAACTTTAATAAATTTATTTTCGGGTACCTTATTAAGTCTTTAGAATTTGATTAAAAATACCAGAAAATTAACTAAAAAAGGAAAATATGACCTCAAAATGCACAAAAATGACCTATAAAATTAAAAACATAAAAAATGTAAAAAAAAACGCAAAATTAAAGTTGCATAAATGGATTCGTAGTAAACTAATTCAAATTATATACTTACAAAGCTACGTTTTACAATCACCAAAAAAAAAAAATGCACTTTCCTATACATTTTCAGTCTGAAAGTTATAAGCCTGAAAGGAACAAAACATGTTAGTAACAATATTGTGCATTCGACAGTTTTTTAAGTGAAAACGAAAACATTTATCCAAAACTTATAAGCCGACCAAAATATATGAGAGTATTGTAATGATGAAATAAAAAACACTTGGTATATATCCTGCTATATCATAGGCAATCTAGTACATTTGAACGTGACCGTCTAAACGTTGGACATTTGTAAGTTAAAAAATAAAAATACTTTTATATCATGTCATGTAGTATATCGTATAAAATCATATCAATGTATCATTTATAATTTATTTAATTTATTATAGCATATCTCAATCTACTGAGAAAACATATCTTCGCCCGTGTTGTACTATATTGTCCTTATAAAATTATAACGCAATTATTAATATTTTTATAGTTTCATTTGATTAGTTGATTATCTCCTAAAGTCCATGCAGAATATTTCTATTCATTAATAATCGTTTTTTTTTTTTTTTTTGTTATATTTGTTTTGTTTATAATTTTATTCATTTCAATATTTTAATATTAGGTATTTGTATAAAACGATAGGATATTTTATGTCTAACGATATAATACTAATTAATTGGTTGATATCCAAATAATATCCCTATTCGACATTTTGTTACTTCGGTACACACTAATTCTACGCTAATAATACACGTCAAAACGTCGTTACTTGTCCGTTGGAAAACAGGGTAATACAGAATACTCCCTCTGCCTAGAAAACAATATGAATTCATCACTTAATAAATATTATTATTATTATTATAATTATTAATATCACGATACAAAATAAGTATAAAAATAAACGATCTTTCATAAAAATTAAAAACAAACTTCGACGGCAAGAGCCCGAGCGTAATACCCATTGGTGGGCGCGTGGGTCACATTTAGACAGGGGTAGGTTTAAGAGGGTGACTAAGGGAGCATTATCCCTTCTTGAGACTAAGATAACTATTTTACAAAGCCAAGTATTATGATATATTAATATATAAATAATTATTATAAAATACCGTCAATCGTCATTAATGAATATGGTTATATATGGATATTTGAATATTTAAGCTTCAAGCTATTTTTGAATTGTTTTTCGTTTGACGACTGACATTTCGTATAATATTATTAGAATTTCTGTTAATAATTCACTATATGATTATGTACTCGATGATCTAAAAGATAGATTTTTAAGTAAAAAAAATTTAACAATTTATAAATTATTACTTCTTATACCAAAAACTGTTGTTGATATCAAATCGCATGATGTAAATAATATTGCAGACATTTTTAATAAAAAAAACTCATATTTACTCATAGAAAAACAACGTTCTACTTCTGAACTTGAATTATGGATTGCCAAATGGACCAGAGTTAAAAATGAAAGTAAATATAAAATCTATTGTTTATTTTTTTAGTACCTATTATTTATATTAAAATTATTTGTATTAAATTTCAAGGAGGTAATTTACCAATTACTATCATAGACGGTTTTGATCATTGTCAGGATGTACTATTCCCAAGTATTAAAACAATGCTTTTAATTATTGGTTATCTGCCCATCAGCGTTGCATCAGCTGAAAGAAGTGTTTTCATTTTGCGTCGGTGGGCGGGTTCATTTTCCTCCAAAAACGAGGTACCGTTTTCCTCCAAAAAAAATAAAAATAATTCTTGATCATTTTCCATTTTCCTCCAAAAAAAATAAAATAATGAAATCGTCAATCGTTAATCGGTATCATCAAAATTTGAACAGTCGGCAGAACTTTGTTCTAATTCCTTAAGTATTAATTTTTTGGTCGTGAGAATAAAATCGTCAATTGCTTACATGCATTATTCACTATTTGTCGATTTATTTTTTTTTGATGGAGGCAAATGATTATATGTACATTTTTGTGTAACTTATCGGTTACTATTTCTTCAGTATTATTTATGTATATAAATGCTTGACAAGTAGTTAAACAGCATCACCAACGTGATAATCCAGATTCTGATTTTAACTTATACGCTAAAAAATATTTGTAACTATTACGAATTATCAAAGGTTTTTCTCGAGAACTTTCAATAAACGATATTTTTTCAGACATGTTAAAATTAAAATTTGATAGATTCACAAAAACTATAAAACACACTATAGACACTATTCGACGTACAGTAAGCTACTAAAAATATAGTCTTATTGATACGAGTACATCGTATATTTGTGTGTCTGTCTCGCTTAATAAGTGCAATCATAATAATCAGTGATAAATTATGATACACATTATAACAATATAAGTATATACGTATATGCCCGTATCTTATATAAACGTATCTTTATTAATCGTAATCAAAGTTATCGAGTTATATTAAGTTATCGACTGTTATAAACTGCGAGTGCTGTCAGACACTTGAACTAGCATTTTTCCCTAGCCTATAAGAACGCGACCAGAATTTAATCAACAGATACGCGGAAAATGTGATCCTACAACACTGGCTAAAATATTGGGGGATAATAGACATAATTTTAGTCAAAAATAATGTGAAGGAAAATGGAAACCAACCTTTTTTTTTGAGGAAAATGGCTACGGCCGCGCAGATATATTTATCTACATTTAAAATTATAATATCAAATTAATACAATCAAATAATCTTATTTTTATACTAAAATATTTTAAATCTAGGTTAAAAGGATTGATTGAGATAACGAATGTGTCAAAACAGATTGAATGGTTTAGCTTTACTTCATTTTTTCTTAGAGAAAAAAAAATATCAACAGATAACATCATTGAACGGTTTTCAAAGGTTAAAAAGAGAAATATGGAATTAATAATGTAATATACCTATTTCATATACTTTTTTCATAATTAAATAGCTCATTTTTGTTGTTAATAATACGTGTATACCTATATTTTTAAAATGGTTTCAGATAAAATTGATACCAATAACCTAGCTATTTAAAATTTGTCACTGTTGTAAAAAAAATGACTTACTTATGAGGAACTCAAAAACATATTCTGTGATTTAAAATTTTATATAGATTTGAATAACAACTAACTAAATTCTTGAACTTCCGTTAGCCCCTCCCTTGGTGAGTGAAAAAACCCGCCCCTGCGTTTAAAACGTATCACCGTGATGTTTGACGACCGACGACCGGTAACGACATCGTGTTCGCGCCCCCGATCCACCGTTACGTACCAAAGAACGTGTATAGCTGACCTGAAACAAGTCGGTGACGATTACGGCTTTGATGCCGCCGATGGCCGAGTAGAACGTGCACAGCACGCCGACGGTGGTCATGGACAGCGTCTGCGACACGCCGGTGATCGCGGTCAGAGCCAACGAAGCCGCGTACAGCACCAGTGCGGTGCGCAAGATCGTCTGCACGCTGAACGCCACCGACGCCACGGTCCTGGTAGACTTACCGAAACGCTCTTCCAAGTACTGTAACCACGTTTAAAATCACATTTTAATCGACAACATTGAAAAAATAAAAAATTAAATCCGCAGGATTTTAACTATTTTGAAATTTTATTTCAAATTTAATACAGCTAAACACGTTTACGATTCAACAGTTGACGTAGCATTTTCATTTTACCGATAGATTTTAATTTTTACAACGCTCCTGATGCTGTCGAGTTGTTCCGCCGAATTGCATTTTACAACAATTCCAAATACTTAAAAATAAAAACCTATCGTAACGTCCGTTTTGTCAATATTCTTGGCAATCGCACTCATCGCTTATTTTTCATTTATAATTTGCACACCTCTAGTACAGTCGTAGATAATCAAAAATTATTAAATTATTCAATAATATGGTAAATAGCATACATTATGATGCATGGACTTTAATATTATTGGAACACTTTCTCTAATCCATGGTCTTCACGTCATAATGTTCAGATACCTGCATAAATACCAATATTTGTGTTTTAGAATTCTTTGAACTCATGCATTTTTATTACAAAGTACATTTTCCGACGTAAGGGGAAAACAGTTCATACTTATTTTTATATTCAAAACTCAATATTACCAAAACGAATGGAATGCAAACGAATTTACCATATTCAACTTCAAAGCTCATAAGACAGAGATTCCTGCAGGTTAAACAGAACTGCTGTGGTGCTAAGCTCTCTTTTGAAAGTTTAAAAGAACGTACTTCAAATACTTATTTTCCTGATAGTACGCTAAAAGTACATTAAAACTCAGCGCTCGATTGGTTCGTAATCAATGATATTCAATTAATCGTACAGTTGACTACTATTTGAAAAAAAATTTCATCAAACAGAATTATTCCGATTTAATGAAACGAATTATTACTAACTGCCCAAGCTACATTTTTCAGTTGGTTTTGTCTTTAGATTAAAACAATTTATACCGCATCAAAAACTTAAATTGACTTACTCAAAGTCCCAAAGACTAACAGTGAGCCATCTCGAATTTTGACCGCGATAAGAAGATTTCTACTTTCTCTGTACAAAACAAACTTATTTTGCGCGACTTCGATCAGTATCGTACATTAATAATAAATAAGATATTATGCAGGAAACATGATGGAATATTACATTATTCAATGCAATCAAATATTCAAGTTCAAATTAAATATAAAATCGATTAGTGTATAACATAATATTTCTAAAAACAATTTTTAAAAAATCAATCAAATATAATACATCATATCTTGAAAAATATTTAATTTTAGTAGAGGCAATATTACTAGTTCAGTTCCATTATTTTCGACCACTGGTTCATGTACTTTTATTTTCACTAAACTGTATAACATATGAGAACCGTTCGTCAAACTTACTACACGTTTAAACTATTACCATGCTCAAAACTTTTGAAAATAAAATAAAACGATGTATACGTATTTATTTTCATACATTCAAAAATATCAAAACAAGATAATATTATTCAGAACCGTTAAAAAAAATAATTACACCAAGGCAAAGGTAAAATTGTATGTTCATTAAATGCGTTTTATAGAAATATTTCTGTGCAAAGTGCAGAAGCAGACACCTGCATTAAAATAAAATAAAACTTTTCTTATTACCTTATATACAGATAAATATCCCAACTTGTAGAACACTGGCAGGAAAACGTAAGCGACAATTGGTGTACCGATAATATTGGATGCGTTAATGACCATAAACTGCGTTCCTCTCAGATAATTTTCGGCACACAGCCCAAACATTGATGTAGTACACATGAAACTGGCCATTAATGAAAACCCCACGGGTATAATGGTCAGTTTTCTGTCCCCGAGCATGTATTCCTGACAAAATAATTAAAACATCACATAAATTATTATTTTACAATTATTCATGTGCCTTTTGATAAAATAGTAATAAAAAAAATTATAGTTATAATTAATTACAAACATAACATTGTCTTACCAAATACGGAGGATTAAAATTTAATCGTTTCTTTAAAGTATAATATTTAATCTTATTTCTGATAATGCATTTTACTTCGTATTTATTTTGTTTTTTTCCTATCATATTATTCTTTATTCATGGTTAGCTATACTTAGCGTGATATCATAAAATGTCACAAATCAACATAAAAAAAATATTGCGTTTATTTATACCCAATAATTACAAATATTGGATGTCCTAAAATAATTTAATGAATAACAGGATATTATTTTTTTTTATAAGTAAGGGAAATAAGGTATTTTCGTGACATAGGCAATTTCATGATTTTATTTTTTGAACATATAATGATATTTCCAAGTAAATTGTGTAACAGGGAATTACATTTTACGTTCAACAAATAATATGAAATTGTCTATGCCATAAATATACCTTTAATTACCCAATTACAATTTTTAGATGTCAGTTGGATAGTCAGGTCACTCTTTATTACTCTTAATATAAGTGTGAGAATAGTTTTATACTATCGAGGAAAGCCAAAATACAAGTTATACAAAGTGTGTTGAAAATATTACCGTAATTATAATTCAATTAATTAATAATTGAATACAAATTAAATTATATTTGTGATACATTTTGCCTAGAGGTTATAATGTTGGATATGGTGAACTATATTGTTTTTACATTTTTTCATGTAACTTATTCAGAAAAATGGTATGACGCGGTAACACACATTATATAATATTATGTAAACATAATATTAATGTAAATACTAGAGCACGTAGTATTGTATACGTAAAAAAATAAAATGTTTAATTATAATATTCTAAAGTGAATTAACATTATATTATAAAACGTTTAATAAATATAACTATCATTAATATAACAATACATTTCGTCATTTGTATGAACAATTTAACTCAACCTCCGTACTTCATGAGAATCGTAATCAGAGAATCAATGCAAATATAAATCATTTTCAAGGCATATAGTTTGTGCGTTTTCAAGCTTTTGCTCTCTTGGATTTATGATAACAAACTATACTACAACCAGAATTTATGAAAATTACTGTCAGAGTATTTAGAAATTTCCAGAACTGAGATCAAAAATGATTTATTTTAATCGTGGCAACGGGTGTAACCATAGTTGTAGATCACAATATATTCATAGTCTTCGCAGTGGCACGCACATCTTCTATTGTAAATAAGATATTTTCCTTTTTTTTTTTTCATTTTTACTCATAAACAATTTATTAGTCGACAAAAATTAATTAGGAAACACGTTATAATATTACTGCAATACGGCAGTTCACCAAAAGCTGCCCGGCTGCAAACACCTAAGAGAGAAAGGGCGAAGGGACGATCGCCCCCCCCCCCCCTGAATCCATATTTAAGTAATCGAGTGTATGTGAGATACACATTTCAAATTTTTTTTAATGTGGATCATTTTATAACGAAATCAAATTACGCGTGGCTGGCTGTGAATACTGAATTGTGGTTTTTGTCAGGTCCATATTTAGTGAAAAATCAAATAAAACACAAGCGTAACCTTCAAAACTCAGACAGGTGTTAAAAAATAACTACACAAAAGTCGATTTTAAGTGGATCCGGCATTAGATTAAAAAAATAAAAAAAACCACAAATATTAAGAATTCACCGGATTTAAATATTACCAAAAATTGTACTTGTAAATTTTGAGCCTGAATTAAAGAAACAATTTGAGTTATTCCCCCTCCCATAAGTAATTCTAAGCACGCCCCTGGCAAACACTCGACAGTTATACCCGAAATAATTATTGCACGTCTCACCTGTACGGTCTGCTGTTTGCCTCCCGTGAGCCGGTAATACAATCCGATCGCGGCAGACGCGAGTAACGCGACCGCGAGCACGACGTAGTCGAAAACGGCTAGCGCCATGCTTGATTAGAAACTAGAAGAGTAAATAAATCAATAAGAACCGTACGTAAAACTGTGGTGACGGATACGTTATTGCTTTCTTTTTATTTAAAACAGTTACATTACGAACGACGATCGCGTTAAAGAACCACGTCGAATTCTATCACCGAGACAATCGAGTGAACGATCTTCATCGGATACTACGTGCGATATTCTCGGGAGATGACATTACAAATAATATTCGATACGTCGCGGAGCAGTGCACTGCGGTGACTTTTGATTGCAAAGCTTTCGCAATCATAGACGCCGCGTTATCTCGCGTGAATTATAAATTTTGTACACGCAGGTGCACGCTGTCTTAATGGTATTACGTAAGCCAAGGCTTATGTATTTTCAGTTTTTTTTTTTTTTTTATTCGTTTTTCCTTATCAATTTACGTTATGCACTGATACTGCCGTCAAGTGGTTCTCGGCTCCTGATTGCGGCAGCGTTTGAACACTTTTTGAAGATTATTCGAAATCCACACACCCAAACACTCTCGTCGTGTACATGGTAATATTATTGAACGATAGCCCGGGTTGTGAAAGCGCGCACGAGGTATGAGTCCAATTTCGTTATTATACATTTAATTTTTAACGCATGGTCAAACTGTTCATTATCAACGAATGTTTTATCGTTTCTCTGCGCACGTGCATCCGTTTACACATTGCTGTAACTTTGATAACGATATGAGGCAAGTTAATTGTGCAATCGTCTGGCGTTATATTTTTACCTGTTTATTTTCTAAAGTATATTTTGTACACTAAATGTCGCTTTTATAAGGTATGCAGTCGGTATTCAAGTATAAAATTATGTTAAAGCATGCACGTATATTAATTCAGGGGCGGAACTAGGGGGTGGAAGAAAAGTAAAAGTTTAGAGGGTGTAATTTTTGTAATTATTAACAACTAATTTTATATTTTGTAACTTTGTTAAATACTGCTATTAGGTTAAAATGCAATAAGTATGATTGCTTATTAATTATTAAAAAAAAATTCTTGAGAAGAATATTTAATTATTGGTTTATGATAGGGCGTAATTTTAACATTTACCTCGGGCGTAAAAATTCCTAGTTCCACCTCTGTATGAAGTTTACACCTACATCTAGAATGGCAATACAAAATCGTTAATATATTAAACAATCGAGTCGTACGCATACGGTTACCGCGGTTTACGAGAACTTTCTGTTTCTCCAAGAAAAAGTTGGAAAAAGAAAAAAACGCAATCGCTGAAACCATATTAAAAAAATAATTTCGCACTTGGCACGTGGTTAGTATAATGCATGCGGAAAACCGATTGCCGGTGGTTAAAATAGAAAAAAGTGAAAGTTTTCGATCAAAAATCGACATATATGTAAATATATATGTATGTATGTATAAATGTATATATATACATACGACATATATGTGTTTATATATATACATATATGTCGATTTCTAATCGAAAACTTTCATTTTTTTTTCTTTTAACCATCGGCAATAGGTTTTCCGCATGGATTATTCTAACCACGTGCTAAGTTGCAAAATTATTTTTCAATATGGTTTCCAATTAATTAAAATATATCCAAAAATATACATATATTTTAATTGATCGGAAAACTAAAAAAAAAATGAAGAGGTAGAATTTTTTTGTACGCTCACCTCGAGCGTACTTTACGCACTTGAGGATGATTTTTTTTTTTTTGTAGAACAGCGAAACCAATCATTGGGTTCCAGTCAGCCCCTGTGCGATCGAATATGCGCTTCGTCAACTAAAACGTTGTATATTCCGTTACTAAAACGGTATTCGCGCGGTATAGCTGGTTGGTCTACTCGGTGTTTCAATTCCATTTCTCTCCCAAAAATATCGTGTACGCTAAAATACAGCAGCGACATTATTGTCGACGAGTGGGTTCTGCGGTACCGGGTTGTTTACGAACGGTGTACAATATGTTGTTCGAACGGTTATATATAATATCGTACAGGAATATCTGTAATATGTATAATGCACGTAACGTATTTAGATAGGATTCCGCCGGCTCGGCTGCTCTTCGAGTCGTTAGTGTCGTCGTCGGTTACACTACGGTGGCGAACTATTGATCCCGCAACCCGTGCCCCGTCCGCCGGGAAACATTTTTTATTTATTTTATTTTTTTTGTACTTTTTGATAACCATAATAAACAATACTTTTAAATATCATGCGAAATACTCGGCTCGGAAGCGGTGGCGGCGGCACAGAACCGGGGACGAATAGAAACGTTAAGGATGAATTGAAAAAACATCGGTGTCCTCGTATTAATATCGAACCCCGGGGTTTTGAATATTTCACATACCACGTGCGATCGCATCTCGGGCTAAAGTACACGGGCACGGATTTGAACCCGAACGTACACACGAGACAGGCACGGATCCAGGGGGGTCATGGAGGTCATGACCCCCAACAGAAAAACATCAAGATTAGATCCGTTTTTATTTGATTATTTAAAATTTAAAATATGCATAAATTGCGGTTTTAATTTATTTTAAATTAGATTTTTTCTTGCAATAAAAATGTTATACAACATATTATATATATATATTATATTTATATACATTTAAACTACATCACCACTTGTTCATAAAATCATAATTTCCATCCAACTTCTAAGAATATTAATAGTGATTATAAACTTACTGATAGATTATAATATTGTTGGCAAATAAATATAAATATAATAATAGGTAAATCTTCGGAAATTTTTTGAGCGTTCGACCTTCGACGGAAAGATAACTTATCTTAGATAAGATTATTGTCAATCCATTAGCTGGTACCGAATTGGTTCCCGAGCTCCAACCCCACGTGCCAAAATGATTCTCGTCTGAAAAAGGTATTTTATTAGGTATAGCCGAATTGGTTTCGTTTAATTACGCACATTTTCCTTCTTAATTTTACAGGCTTAGGATTGTCAACTTTAAAGTAGGCTTGGTTAATGTGCGTTAATGTATGTTAAAAAAAAATAATAAAATATGTACAATTTTAAATCGTTGATTTGAAAGTTAACTAGTCATCACTTAGGTATGCAAATACAAATAATAAAATATAATAAATACATTTTAAAACCACTGAATTTTGAACCAGCAAATTTTAAGCTAACTTTCTTTAAATATTCAACTCTCGTAATCTTCTTATTAATGTACTCGGTCATACAATTTTCCAAGTATTTGTTATTTCTTTCCTGTTTGCTAGTAATTTGCTAGTCTCTATTAATCTATATTATATCTATTATATTTTTATACTCTATCTTATCGATATAATAATTGTATCTATATGTCATACATATAGCTTTTAAAATTTTGTTTTTTGCTCTCCATGCACTGACCCGCCTAACCTGTACACAAATGGGAACCAATTCGACTATACCTAATGAAATACATTTTTTCAAACAGGAACCAATTCGGTTACTCCCTTTCCGTTACCCGTATGTATATATAACCATATACTTGCTATGGCACCGCTAAACGCTAATTTAGGTTCTAATAACTTGTTAAAAAATACTATACATGCGATCATTCTCTACTCTCAGGTGTCTTAATACATGGCTTCGTTTAAACATGGGAAGAGAACGTTTTGCTCAATATTCACAAGAATATACCCATAAATGTTGATAATATAATTTCTAAATTTGGAAAAATAAAACAATAAAAATTAAACTTTGTTATTTGATTTTCGAAATTAACAATTTCATATATTCATAACGTTCTAATTTAAATTAATAATTTACTTTTATTATTTTGTATCTGTGCATTATCTTTTTGTACTTTCGAAAAATTGACCCACCCCCCAATTCGAGTTCTAGATCCACGCCTGACACGAGAACGGTTTAACCAGGGTCCGCCGTTCCGAATCAAACGAATGCGTTCCAATACAACCAATATAATAATATTGTTCTATTAATGTACGCTGTAATTGTTACGTATCGGATTTTTTGTTTATTTTTCATTCCTAAGATTAGTCAAATGACAACATTGATGTCTCTTCTTCTCCATTTTCTGCCATCGTTTATAATTACTTTCGTTTCTCCATATGTGTTCTAAGTCCGGTGTCTTCTAACATTTGGTGAGATGTTCTAACCCATCCTGGTGTAACGTGATCGGGGTGACCAGTTAGATATGAGTTATTCAGGGAAGGTTTTCAAGTCCTTTTGATTATGTTTTTACAGTAGTTTGGAAGCATAGATGTTATTTGGGATATAAATATTACAAATAAGTGGAGATTGGTTTATTAATAACTATTGCATAAAGGTTTATTGATACTTACAAAATATAAATATGGAGTTGTCCAGGAGTTCCTATGCGTGATGGTAGTCACCGTGAACTCCCAACTCCCCAATGTTAATATTTGGCCATAGCCTTACAATATTCAATATCGTATAAAGCAGGGAGGAACGTAATGTCTTGTCAGCATATGTAACAATTGTTACAGTGGTTTACCTACTACTAATCTTAGTATATTCTACATTGATTTCTGAGTGTTTGATTTCCTAAAAAATTCATCATTCTTTACCTTTTAAAAGCTTTTTTATGGTAAAAAGATTTTACTTTTTATAAAAGGCTTAATTAGTCTGCGCTCCTCTCTTACTTACTTGAATCAGTAACGATATTAAAATAAATGAAAAGTTTCCGGTCTGCCCCCGAGTCTACTATTCGCGAGTAATCCGATTTCGATTTATATACGCACTTAAACGTAGAACACGTTGGACACAATGATTGATCACTCTCATAAGAAGTAATTAAAATGAGTTAAAAGCCCTCGGATTACTGGCAAATTATATCGTACAATAATAATGTACTTAATATAATATATTCGTTTTGAAAGTCATTACATGGCTCCCTGTAGGTGATCTTTCAGTGACAAAACGCGGACCTGAGTAGACCAGTACACATATATTTATCCTTCAATACATAGTACACATTATATTATGATACGCGTAGATGCATATACTCGCAATATAATATCCGTTTCGAAATCGTATGAAATTCGTTCGTGTTCAATTTGAAGTACTATTATTCTTTTTTTTTTTTCTGCAGAGCATTCGAAAGGACTAGTATGGCACGTTCTTAGATATTTTTCAAAGAAAGGCATGAGCAAATATACACTTATAATACATAATATAAAACTATATTGTATATAAAATTAACCACAGGAAGCTCCGATGCTCACTGCTGACTCACGAAATTTAAATGTCCTTCAATCAAATATACGAATATATTCAATACTGTATATAACAGAACG